GTTGTCTGTAGCGTTAGTGCTTTCTGTCAGACTCCGAAAAAGATCAAAGCCAAAGTTTGCATTGAGGATATTAAGACGCTGGATTCTGGTTTTACCGTGGAACAGTTCAAGAATATTCCCGTGCTGAATTTCAGAAATCTTATATGGGACAGCATCAATTATGTCACTGTAGTCGTCATCTTCGTTCAGTATCTTCTCCAAATCTAAGTAATCTTCCTCTTCTTCTTCTTCAGCAATCAGGTCATTTGTAATGGTGTTTTCCCTGTGGAACTCTAGTGGAAGATTAGGCATATCGTGGGATCCATTTTCTTGGAGATCACCATTTTTTATGCTCTGAAAATGCTCACTGAAGTCTTTGATCTCACAAAATGCAGATGTTACAATGAGAGAGAGGGCAAATAAATCAAGGAGGAACTTCATTCTGGTGCATTGAAAGCTGGAAAATACCAATGTATTTTAGTGAGAGTGTGTGGTGATCAACCCTTTTAAGCATTCACTTAGTGTTGAAGTAGGTTGTTCTTTTTACCTACATCACATTCCAACTTCAGTTTGTACACACACATCATCTACTACAAGCAAGCCTTAATTTCTCAGAAAATGAGGGCTTTAAAAAAATTAGAGGACTGAACCATTTTATGAAAATAGCTTCTGAATGTTTGAATTGTGGGGATGGGATGGGAATCGTCAATTAAACGTGCACATCAGAGGGTCAAGAGATTATTCAAATGCTATAAGGGTGGGTAAAATGGGATTTCTTGAAGACAGTGTCTTTGGAAGGGCAACACTGAATTGGGATGGAATAAGGGTCTGTGCATAGAGACACCCATTACATTAACATTTATAGTTCTGCTAGTAATCCTAGTGAGACTGTTTATAACATGTAAAGTTAAGCACTTGAATTCTTCTTTGCCAGATCAGGACCTTTTTTAGGTGTGGTTCCTTAATTTTTTAAGAAACTGATTTAAATACATCATTTTCTTTTTTGAGGGAATTGTTTGGCTTTCTAGGCATTGTGTCTGATGGGAAGGGTTGTTTTTGTGTGTTTCTTTGTGAAGGATTATGCAATGTCTAGCACTTCCATAAAGTGAGAGCTCTGTTAATACAAAATTGCAGCCAACACTTTTTAACGATTAGAAATGCAGGTTTCTGAGAAGGCAAGTATCACATTGAAGGAATTAGCCTCAGTTATTCCCTTACTGAGGGCATTTAGGTAGAATCCATTTATCATGTGAAATAATAGCCCTCCCATTTCACTGAGGATGTATATATGTATATGTGTGCGCACATGCACACGCACACCCCCTGTTGTTAGTGTCACATGTAAAGGAACTCGAGGACCTGATTTCCGAGGTGCAAACAGGCTGAAATACTTAACCACATAATTGATATGGATCCAGTAATCCACGATCTGAAATGCATGAAAAAGTGGTAATTCACTAGTACAATTTCAGGAGTACTGAAAGGCAAGGCTTTAGGAACCCTTATGCCCTGTACTACAACATCAACTGTGAAAGGGATAAAAACAATTGGAAATGCAGTCTGGATTTCTAAACTGCTTGCCCGTAGCTAGATGACTTTGCTCTTATTTTGTTTTACATTACTTCCATTGCTCTGTATAGGACATATTTTAGAAGAAAAATAATATTTAGAAGCTATAATGTGGACAAATAATATTGAATGGCATCTTTATAAGGAATTTTTTTTAAATGAAGAAAACATTGTTTTAAAAGCCTAGGAAGAGATCTTAATAAGAAAGGAGAACCAAGTAGTAAGTGGAAAGAAGAAATACTTTAAGTATGTCCTAACGACTTCCAAATAATGATGCTCATTTTCCTGTCTACTGATGTACAAAAAGAACAAAGATCAATTATCTTAAAAACATCTGAGAAGATTATTCCACCTTGAAACAAAATATTCTGCATTTTTAAGGCTCTATCACAGAACACCATTAAAAGCGTCTGCTGTGTGGTGAGTGAAGGATTGTCATCTTAATGCTTCTCCTTTGTTTAAAATGTAAATGACTTCTACGTTTTTTTTTGTTTGAGAAAGGTAATTGTGTGCAGTAACCGCTAATGAAAGATAAGTGCTTTCTGCCTCAGTTATAGTGTTGACGTACTTTTTGTGGTGCCTAGTTTTTACATTCTCGTCTTTCCCAGAGTTTAATGTATTATTTGCCCTCGGTTTACTGTGGACAACTTATTTCCACCCCCACCCTCCCCCTACACACACACATGTTTTGGAGTACATTTTTCTTAAAAGGTTTTTAACGTCAGCCAAAATCTTAGAAAATGTCTTACCTCCAAGCCACGGAGCAGGAAGGATGTGTTGAAGAGCTCAAGTAGGGTGAAAGGCAGGGTTTAAATCTGAACTTTGATGCTAGCAAATTCTCTCTCCCCCAAAGCAAACATGCCCCAAGTCAAACACTGCTAAACTTGCTGCATCAGCCAAAACCCCTCTACTTGTTTAGTGGTCCTTGCCAAGTGATTTGTTTCTTCCATGGAGGTTGTGTGGAGGCTTTTATAGTTTGTGGGGTGATTCCTTGCTTTGGTTCTGCTTGTGGATTTGAAAATCATCAAATGTTTCCCTCAAACTGTGGCCACATTTTATGTATGTTTTCTTGGGGAGCACATGCGGCTGTCTGTTTTACTTTTGCTGTGCCCTCTTTATGTGGACATCTTGCACACAGACACTGTTAAAATAATAGTGTTTCAGTTGGAAAATCAACAGCAGTGCCAAACCAAGCATCTTAAAGGCAGAAAAGAACTGATCACTGACTTTGTCCTTCGAGTTAAGCAACACCATTGGGGCTGGGGTGGCACAGGCACTAAGGCACACAGATGATTCAAGGCCATAGCAGAAGCACTCATGAATTCAGCTAAATATGTTGTCACACGGACACAAAAAAGGAAACGGACACTTTTCTTAAGTCTCACTATTCCTTTGGCTCGGTTTGTCTGTTGTAGCTACCTCTTGTTCCTTGTCTGTAGTTAGCTTGTAAGCCCTTTGAGGCAGGGAACATCTTCCCATTACGTGCAAATACCATGCCTAGAATTCCTGAGTGGGTCCTCTCTAGATTTGATAGTGGATGGTCCACCTTATTCAAGACTACATTGCTGGAAACAGCTGTGTTCTCCCTAGTAAAATAGCACTTTTTTCCTGCTTAAGCTCAGGTGAAACTTTTACTATAACAATGATATGGTATTAATGTATATAATGAGAGTCATTATTTCTCATTTCTCATATCTGATTGCATGGTGCAGTTTAGAAAGTGTTTCTTCTTCGCACAAAATCCATGTGATCTAACAAGGTGCCTGAGGCTTTTTAATAGATTCATAAGCATGCTGTTAATTTTTCTACACCTCTGTAGAGAATTACTACATGACTAGAAAGATTGTCTCTCATAAGCCAGGTTTGTGTATAAATATTTAACTCATAGTAGCAAAATCCAGTTAAGCTGGACAAAATAGGGCCACCACCCAGCTCATCCCAATTTAAGAAGCCTGTTCCTATTTCAGATGTACTGTATGCTCTAAGGCAGGGGCAGGCAATTATTTCGGGCAGAGGGCTGCTTACTGAGTTTTGACAAGCCATCGAGGGCCGTATGACAGGCAGCCAGGGGCAGATAAATATTAATTTTCTTAATTTTGAGGGGGCCCCGCGGGCTGGATAGAATGGCTGCATTTGGCCCCCAGGCCACATTTTGCCCACGCCTACAAGGTTTGGAGGGGTTTATGCCATACACTCCTGGCCTCGGTGTTCAGTCTATGCTAAGAAGCCTAGTACACTTTGCATGGCTAGAAGAGGAAAACCTATTCAGTTCTTGCTCACTAGGAGTTAGAGCAGGGGGTCTGAACTGTGTAACACGAGACAGATAATGGTTCACTGGGAGCTCAAGGGCTGTGCTGGTTTGGCAAGAATTTATTAAAAGCAAACAGAGTCCTGTTATTTGCCTGTGTACAGATAGCAAGGTCTGTGGGATAGGAACTATCTGCATGAGTGTACAGTAACTGTTCCCCGTTTGGGGCCCCTAAGCACTAGCACAAAACAAATAATAAACGATTCTAATGAATGCTGAACAGAAGTAGCCGCTGTCTGTGCTTTAGTGATAACTTGATTCTGCACACCACTATCTTTGCCCCTACAGTTTGAAGATGATGGTGATCAGGGTCTGAATTTAATTATCTGGCCATGTATTGTGCAACATTAAAACATCTACTTTCAGGTGTTAGCTTGTATTAATACAAAATTACTTCTTCTGTATTACCAAGTCCAGTGCTTGGAAAATTAGTAGTTGCTACAGCATTACACCAAAATGGAGCTGTTTATCCATAGCTTTGACAGTAACCGGATAATTTTCAACAATATGCTTAATCAATTGATGGAGCTAACTTCTGAGTGCTAGAGTGACACAGTATGAAGTTATACGGACGGATTCCTTTACGTCAGTGTTTCTCAACTTTTTAAGTAGCAAGTACCCCCTAACTTCTGAAAATTGTAATAAGTACCCCAACACTCAATTTTCCAGGGGATTTTATATTTACAGACTAATGTGTGCCATATGTTGGAAGAAGGGCTGTGTATATAAGGCTGTGATATGACAGATGTCTGACCTGGTGTAGGTAAGGTTGCCACCTTTTACACCAGAGGTGCACAACTCAAGTGTGTACTTGGGCTAGAGGTGATGTTGGCTAAATCTGGGAGGACTGAACCCAGTGCCATGCAAAACACAGCATGCCAAATTATTATTGGGGATTTTAAAGTGCCATGCAATGTGTGGTGCACCAAACTTTTTGCCATAGTTTTGAGAGGAGAATAGGGTGAGGAGAGAGAGAGAGAGAGAGAGAGGAAAAGAGAGTGAGAGAGAGAAAGTGTTGGGGTACCTGCGTACCCCCTGCCTGTGTCTCGTGTACCCCCAGGAGTACACGTACCACAGGTTGAGAAACCGTGCTTTACATAACATTAAATTATCATGACCCTTCTCTTCTCTACTTCCTTTTTAGCTCACAAGACGCTTGCCACCTATCAAGGAAGCCAAACCCAGGTTACAGAAGCTGTTTCGTGATTTTTGGCTCTACTCGGTGCTCATGGGATTTGCTGTGGAGGGATCAGGTAAGTTGACTTCTAATGGAAAAAGTATCAATGTTGATCTGGGAAAATCAGGGGTATAGGATGATAATAGGTAAAATAGAAACTCCTTGCGTGTCAAGAGGCTTCACAGGCACCCATCCAGCCATGTTTATTAGGTTTGTGCCGAGTCTGTTTCCCTTTGAGTGAATCTCATATTTTTTAGAGTGAACCAATTGAGTATCAATTTAAAAATAATTAAACTAAATTAGGTTTAGGTTTCTTTAGTAGTTAAACAAGCTGCAGTTGTCTTAATGGAGCACCTTAACATACTTTGCCGTGGCATAATTGGTCATGCTCACCCTCTCCATTTTTACTACAGGTCTTTGGCCAGAAGAGTGGTATGAAGGGGTCTGTGAAATAGCCACTAAGTCTCCGCTACTTACATTTCCCAGCAAAGAACCTCTTCGTTCTGTCCTTCAGTACAACTCTGCCATGAAAAATGACACAGTGACGTCTGTAAGAACCACTTTCTTCCACTGTGCCCCTTTGAGGCATTAAATGAAATATTTGATATTTAACCAGTAGATATTGCTTTGCAATAGCTTCATGATACCTTCATTTAACCTGCATTGATGAAAAACAGCACCTTTTACGTGCACGCTCACATCATACAAGCTGTGTATGTAGCTTAACAGAACAAAAAGTAGGAGTATCAGCATCAGCTAGGACCAGAAGCTGCAGTCCTCTTGGCTAGTATCCAGGTCTTACTAGGGAGTGAAACCTTTTAATGATGCTTTTGTGTTTTTCCTGTGTCTGACAAAAATCTGCTCAAAAGTTCTGTTTCTAAAGTAAAATGACATTCTCTATTTTCTCTCTTAAAATGGCTTCCAGCTGAGCCTGTGGAGTAAGTTCCTATTGTAAAGATAAATAAGTGGAAGGATGAACGACCAGTGTAAAACTGAGAGCCAAATTTTCTACTGATATGACTTCTCTGACACCGTTAGTTACCCCAGCAGAGAGCTTTGTCCTACTTTTCATGTACTGTGGTGAGCTCTGCTGCTTGAATCTGACTGATCAGGAATAAGCGAACTGGTTGTCCTTATTCCCCTTCCTCCCTCCCATAACGGCTCTTGTATAACATTCGAGTATCTGGCTGTACGTTGTAAGAGCTTGGGTGCCTTTTTGCTTTCCTCTTTACTTGCATGTACAGTTACACTGTGAAGGGATTTTAAAGAAACAGAGCATAAGTCAGTAGTAACCTAAATGTAGTTATTTTTAGAATACAAATAAAAATAGTACCAAGTTGAATCTATTAATCTCTTAGGCTGAGCTGAATGAATTACGGAGCACCATTATAAATCTCTTGGATCCTCCTCCAGAAGTGTCGGCACAGATCAATAAACTGGACTTCGCTATGTCTACCTACCTACTGTCTGTTTACCGTCTAGAGTACATGAGGTATATTTTTGTTCCTGGATGTCGCTTTTTAAAAATTCTTGGTTCCTGGCATTTTGTACGCGCTTAAGTTTAATCTGGACACGCAGGATGAAATTGTGATTTTTTTTGTTGTAGTTAGTGCAATTTTGGCCCCACTAAATCATTTGGACCAGGATTTCACTTTTATTGCAGCCCCTTTACAGCAGGAAAAAGGGCTGGACTGATGCAAATGGCCCATAAAACCCCAGTCCTGGCTTGGAGGAGATTTGCTGTGCTGCAACAACTGTGGTAGACTCCCTTCCAAGAACCCTCAGGCAGGCTTAAAGTATCCTTAGCCCTATCTACTCAAGGTAGTTAGAAATGCAGCACAGAATCTGCCCTGTGACATTTCACAGTTGTTAAGATGTTAGAGTCAGTATTCCTGATGTATAGTAGAGCTTGCTTCTGGCTAGTGTACTTTTATTTGCAGTAGCAAAACGCTCAGGAATTGGTATGAGAGTTTTAGGACTCTTAGGTGAGAGTTGAAAGGGGTGCTCATGCTTGCACTTGCTTGCTCTCGCGCTCACTCGCTCTCATTTGCTCTCTCCATGCCTAATGTTAAGTCATCTGAGAGAGCCAGTGCTTTAATTGTCCCAAATTCGTTGTCTCTAGAGAATGGTGGTATCTTGTTTGTTAAAATGTCCTGTAGCTATGACTTTGTGAGTGCTTCACCATATTTCTCTTACTTTTGATGGTTTTGTGCAAATTGATAAGCAGGTCACAAGCTTTTTCTTGTTCTCTCATCCTTATTAGTTGGATGTATATCCAAAGACTTGGCCATTAAATTTAATGGAGATTTTGTGTTACTTGTTTTTTGACAACTACCCAGTCACTGCATATGGGCATATACTGAAGAGAAAAAGCACTGTTTATACACTTAGCTTTGTGTGGAAGGTGCTGAAGATTATTTTTGTCTTAGGGTACTGCGTTCAGCAGACCAAGATCGCTTCCAGGTGATGTTTTGCTATTTTGAGGATAAAGCTATTCAAAAAGACAAATCTGGTAAGTTCACCTGTGCTACCTGGGATCCTAAAACTTGCCACTTAGCACAAGTGCTTTTGTTCTACATTTAACTAATTTTAAAAGAACCTACATTATATGGGTATGGTTTAAGCTAAATGAATTTTGAATTGTAGTTATCAGAGGGAGCCTTGAAGTTTATTAGTGTGAACCAGGAAACTTTGAGCTTGTTCAGTGCTTGCATGCAGAAGGAGATAGTCCTGATAGAAGCAGCCATATGTATTAGGTGTATTTGTTCTTCCAGTCAAATTTCCCATAAATTGTCAGATGTATTTTTAAATTGCTTAATGTTTGTTATCAACAAACACCAGCACAGATGAAGGCCCTGTGGGAATGGGACCAAATCAAATTAGACGGCCTGGTTGCCTTAAAATTCAGTTGATAAAATACTGTTGCAGTCTCCTGCTGCTAGATATATAATATATAGCCTGAATGCTAGTTTCCAAAATACCTGTAGTCAATGGCTAACTCCAGTGACTATCATTGCCAGCAGCAGGGAACTGATGGCAGTGGGTTAGTTCTAACTAGTTCTAACTTTTTATATGAAATAATGATCACAGTGATTGTGATTACTCTCTACTGTAGAAATGTACTGGTTTGTTTCTTTTATCAATTCACTTGGATTATGCAGCAAGGTTGGGGTAATATATTTTAGGAATAGCTCTCTGACCAAAAAAAAAAAAAAAAAAGGTCAAGTTACTGTGTAACCTGTAGAAACCACTTTTACCAAATGGCTAAATACTGCACTTTTTTAGTTTTAAAAGACTGTCTAAGCAAAATGTCTTATTCTGCAAAGTTATGGCATAGAGGAACAGGACAGGAGAATAGTTTTAGTCATCTGTCAGGCTGATTTGTTCCTAAGTGCTAATTGCAAGTGCTGGTAGCTTATTTTCGTTTCTTTCTCTCTGTTTTATCTCTCTGGAAAGAAATGTTTGTTTTAGATTTTAAAGCAACTTGGGTCAATGCTGGTCAGATAAATAAACACATTTGACTGCTAAAGATGTAGCATACAAAGAAAATGTAATTCTTCAAGACAACACATGATTTCTCTGGATTCTTTTCTAGGTATGATGCAGTGTGTAATAGCTGTTGCAGATAAGGTGTTTGAAGCTTTCCTGACAATGATGGCTGATAAAGTAAGTTTCATAGATTTCACAGACATTAGGGCTGGAAAGGACCTCACGACATCACACGGTCCAGCCCCGTGTACACGGGGCAGGAAGTCAGCTGGGGTCAGATCACCCCAGCAAGATAAGCATCCAAGCGTTTCTTAAAGGTGTCCAGAGTAGGTGCTTGCACTTGTTCTGGGGAAGTCTATTCCAGACTCTGGAGACTCAGACAGTAAAGAAGTTTTTCCTTATGTCCAGTTTAAAATGGTCTTCCAGCAGTTTGTAACTGTTAGATCTTGTCTTCCCATGGGGTGCCCTGATGAACAGACGTTCTTCCAGATTCTGATGCACACCCCTTATATACTTTATAGGCTACCACCAAGTCACCCCTGAGCCTTCGCTTCTCCAGGCTGAATTGTCCCATGCTTCTCAGCCTGTCTTCATAAAGCCTGTTCTCTTGACCTCTAATCATGCACATGGCTCTCCTCTGGACTCTCTCAAGCTTCTCCACATCCTTCCTTAAGTGTGGAGCACAGAATTGGATGCAGTACTCCAGCTACGGCCTCACCAAGGCTGAGTACAGCAGGAGGATGACTTCTTGGGTCTTGCTTGAGATGCATCAGTAGATGCAAACCGGAGTTTTTTATTTGCATTGCCAACTGTGGCATCGCATCGGTAGCTTATGTTCATCTTGTGGTCAATCATGACCCCCAAGTCTTTTTTCAGTCGTGTAGCTAGTTTAGTTCCTGTAAACTAAAGTGAGTATGTGTGAACTTTTTATCTAAAAGCAAATGTTTCTTGCTTCTCTGTGAAATGTTTCTAGCCTAAAACTAAAGAGAATGAAGAAGAGCTGGAGAGACATGCGCAGTTCCTGCTGGTGAATTTTAACCACATTCACAAACGGATCAGGAGAGTTGCAGACAAATACTTATCTGGTCTTGTAGATAAGTGAGTATCGAGTTCCATGTTCTTTGGGCTTCTTTGTGTTGGCTAGTTGGTTAGCAAAACTGATAGTAAGACAATTGAATAGGGCTTTGGGATTCCATGGCTGTTAATTCTGTTGAATTGAGGCATAAAAAAATGCCTAACTAAGGCTGCTAAGCCTTATCTTGGTTCTGAAATACTTGCTTAGTCGATATTCTACCTTCTTACATGCTAGACAATCCAAACAAATGCTCATTTAAATAAATGCAAAAATGTAGCCGGCTTTATCACACTGTATATTTCTTCAAAGCATCCTGTATCCTGTGCTGGCTAGTAATATGTAATACATATAGTTATGATGTTCTCGCAAAATACAGAAATACAAATACAAAATTGGGTCATTACTGAAGGTTAAAATGCTTTAGTTTCCTTTGATTTCCAGCTTGAGCTAGTCAAGAAATATGGAGGTGAAACTGCCTAGCCTAAATCATTACCTTGACTCTGTGAGAGTTTTGTAACTAATTAATTGCCTCTGTACGCTGAAGTTTGCCTTTGTAAGAGCTTTTGACAGCTGTTCAGCTTCTAGGCTGTTGTGATCCATACTTAACTCAGTCACTTGTGGTCTGCATAGATTTACACATATCTACATTGTTGTGTGTTTCCTTTGCATGTGTTGATGAAGGTACTCCCTTTCCTCACTTCTTTATAGATATAATGTATTAATTTGTTTTGTTTTAGGTTTCCTCACTTATTGTGGAGTGGAACTGTGCTGAAGACTATGTTAGATATTCTCCAGACACTGTCATTGTCTCTTAGTGCAGTAAGTGTTTTGTTACTAACTGCTATACAAATAAGAAGTACATTTGTGTTGACCACAGTTTCCACTAAAAACAGAATGCAGAGATAAGAGTATTGCTGGAAGGTGCTCCTTTGCAGAACATGTAGCATCTATCATTTAACACTACAGATGCTGAGCTGCATAATATTCCCATTGTTTTTTCTTAGCTTTTTATTCCATATCTTTCAGTTGTAATGCTCTGCTTCTCTATAGTTTTGAACTGAACAGTAGTTATACTTTAAAAAGGCATCTTATATCATTTCTAAAATTCCTTTTCACAATTTCTTACAGACGCTATTAATATTAAACTCAGAACAGATCTGAGAAGTGTTGTTAGTTCCCCATTTTCCAGGTCATTAAACTGTGGACCAGGGTGATTTATCCAAGGTGGCACAGCAAGTCAGTGTTAGAATTGGGAGTAAAACCTAGCTGCTCTGATTCTCACTGCCCAGCTGTAACCATTAAACCATTCCTTACTGAACTTGTAATTAAGTTTCATAGATTCATAGAAGTTAGGGGCTGGAAGGGACCTCAAAGATAATCGGGTCCAGCCCCCCTGCTCAAGGCAGGAAAGACTGCCAAGGTTGTATTGTTAGTGTTTTGAGTGGTGGCTAGCAAATGCGGTCTTCTTTTTATGTTAACTTTACATATGCAAGGACTCGGTTATTTAATTTTGGATTAATGTTTTGTTTTTAAGTGTTTGAAAGGTGGAAAATAATTGTAAAAGTTTTGTTTTACTAATTCTGTACTGATGTTTTTGTACAGACAATAAGGCAGTTACAGTTGTGCTGGAAAGAAGACCGAAAGGAGTCTCTTAAATAGCTGCTATCTGCATTTGTGGGACAGAGGATATCATTAGCAAACTGATTTAGTAAATTGGAGCACTCCTGGGGAAAATGCAGCTGGTAGTGAACAGGTTAAACAGATGTGGATGTGCTAAGTTGTTCTGTATTGAGACTCTTAACATTCTTTGTTTAGGACATTCATAAGGACCAACCATACTATGACATTCCAGATGCCCCATATAGAATCACTGTCCCTGATACATATGAAGCCAGAGAGGTAGGTGATAGCCCTGTGATTGAGCAACTATAACTACATGTAGTTTGACTTTTTCATGTCCCTTGGGGAATATTGGTTTGGCCAGTCTGAATGGCTATGTTTTAAAGCTACATCTTATGTTTGGAACCTGTACTATAATTAGGTTACCAGATATCTATGTTCGTTCTACCTTTTCTCTTTTCAGAATTGCACTTTGCTGGAGCATAACAATTCTTTGCCTCCAAAAACATTCTTTTATAAGCTGAAGTATCCTAATGTAATTACGAATTCTTTTGATTAGTCTCCATTTAGTGCTTTTAGCTTTGTTCATTGTGCCATTTTCTGTTTGTTAATTACTGGGTAAGTGACAGATGCACTGATGCTTTCTTTTTTCTTTTTAAGAGTATAGTTAAGGACTTTGCTGCACGCTGTGGGATGATTCTGCAAGAAGCAATGAAATGGGCTCCCTCTGTCACAAAATCCCACCTGCAGGTAACTAACTTGAATGGATGAGGAAATAATCTGATTCTCAGACATGTTCAGTGTCCAAATAATGAGTGCGCCAAGCTTTTTCTCTCATACACTATTCATGCATCGTTGTATAACTTCTTTATATTCTAATTCTTTACATTTCCCCACTCCTTCCCCCCACACCATATAGAAGAAACATTCCTAAAATATGTTGAAATGGGCTTCAAACCATAAACTTTCAAATATATTCATAAATAACAGTTAAGTAATTTTCAGCCTTGTTGGTGTGCCAGTGACCCTAGTCTTCCATGCTTCTTTTTTCCTAGAGCAAATTAATTAATGTTGTCATCTTCCATGCAATGTAAAAGGTCTCTCCTTGTAGAATATTTGTTTGATTCTCAAAACCACAACCTTGGCTTCAAAGTGGCTCCTCAACATATTCATGTTTATGCCCTTTAGCAAAGAAGAAAGAAAAATATTCTAGGCTTTTAAGATTAAATATTCAAAATAGCCTTATGTCTTATAAGTGTAAGCCTTACTTTCCTAATACAGAGGAATAATGCTTTTTAAAATTAGTCACCCTCAAATGAATTTGTCCTTTTCTCTTAGGAATACCTGAACAAGCATCAGAACTGGGTATCAGGCTTATCCCAACACACAGGCTTGGCTATGGCTACAGAAAGCATTCTCCACTTTGCAGGCTACAACAGACACAACACCACATTGGGAGTGAGTATTACTTTTATACTAACACTTGCCTGAAGCAGTCGTATAGAGAGCAATCCATGTGCCATTTGCTGTTTTTTCTGGTCCTTGTGATCTACTTAGCTAGTTCTCTTGGTGTTTGGCACTGGCTAATCAGTGTAAAGAACTGGACATTGTAAATGGGTAACACATTTTGGGGGCATAAAGAGTAATAACAATGATACCTCTTTATAGGCAACCCAACTAACTGAAAGACCGACTTGTGTAAAGAAAGATTACTCCAACTTCATGGCTTCTCTTAACTTGCGCAATCGCTATGCAGGAGAGGTAACTGGGCTTTTTCCTGAATTCATGGCAATCACCAAGTGGTGATACAGCTTTGTTGATGGTGTTTGGTTTAAATAGAGGATGAGGATGAGGATTTGACTGCATATTATGACCAGGTTGGAAATGCTTTTAGAAGGATGTCATCCTGTAGACTAAGCAGGGATGTTGAGGCATGTTATCCTTCTTTCTTGCTTAAGGACATCATATCCATACTTTATTAAAAAGGCCCTTTTACTGCTGGTCCTCAGGGGTCAAAGAAATCATTACCCATGCAAAAAAGGCCTTGGCCCTCTCCCTGTATTTGCTAGATAACTTTTCAGCAAAATGTAATGGTCAAGAAGTTGTCATAAGTCCCCCAGTGGGTTTCCTCACTGAGTTGGAAATACTGTGCTTCCTAGAAATTATTCCTTCCTAGACTCTGACTGAAGCCACAGTAAAATAAGGTTGTCATTTAAGAAAGTTACTTTTCATAATTGATCAAAAGTATGTTTCACAGGTGGCTGGAATGATTCAGTTCTCCAGTGCTACAGGTCGAACCTCCGACCTGAACAAACTGATGATTAAACAGCTCAATGATGCATTAGAAGGAGGCCTGACCGATTTCTACACCCAGGCCATGTTTAAGATGACTGCATTGCTAATAAGTAGCAAAGGTAATGAAAACAAATAGAACTGTTTTGCACGTGTTAATAATGCTGATGCTTTTAATATTAAATTACAATGAATAGATGCATACAAACTCAGGTGAGTATCAACCTGAAGCAAAACGGTGCTTTTTCTTCCAGTACGTTTAAAATTGGGGCGAGGACAGTGGGGAGGAACTCTTGAAATCACATAAGTTATTTGTTTGCTGATTGGCAA